ATAAAAGTCACTTCATTCTGGTAGATCCCCCTGGGTTAATTATTGCCCTTGATAAGCTTTGGAAGGAAAGATGCCATACACCATACTGGATGTGAAACACACCTGAAAATCACTAACAACCACCTCCTTTGTAATCTTGTGATTTGAAAATGGCTATCTTTCAAATGTAGAAACCAGAACAAATTAATCATAAAGATAACTTCTTGGCTTGTTTTCCTCTGAAATAATTTTTTCAGATGCAGACATATACAGATGTTCAGCCATGAAACACTACCAGACCCAACACCACACCAGGACTGCTGCAATGGCATAACAGACAGTACTTGGGGAACCGAAAACTGGCTTTTGGTGTACCAGAGTCTGCTTTAGCCAAGCAGAATAGTCTCCCTGGACATATGAACTAGACATCTCTGAAAAAAAAAGCTTGATATTTAATTGCAGGGTTGGCAGGTGCTTCCATGATATATAGCGTATGGAATAAATAGCCAAGGATTTAGAGCAAAAAGCGTCATGGGGTACACACAGTGCTTTCTGTATTAGTATTATCTCTGTGCACACAGGACAGAACTTGTTACAAATACCTGAATGAATCATCTAATGGCTGTGAATGTAGGACACTCGAGCACTAGCTGGGGTCCTGGAAACACTGCTGAGGATTCAGCTTATCTCTCAGAAGCACAGAGCTTCTAAAACTCCATATTTCTAGGGTATCTTTAGACAACGGAAAATAAAAGCTGGAAAAAGCCGAAGAGCTGAAATTGCAACTGAAGACTTTCAGATGCAATGAAAGAATTCAATTTAGCTTAGGATGCTAATTTTTATTTAAAAGCTGCATCAGTGTCAGGCTGGACTTCATAACAGAGGCACTGTTATGGGCTAGAGCACGTGCAGGCTTCTGCTCCTGGCAGCAGAGGTCCCAAAGACATGCTAGTACGCAGCCAGTGTGGGTGTGATGGAAACGCTGAAGCTGTGTCTAAGCCTTGCAGCTTCATAAATCTCAGTAAACCCTGGAGGAAGAAGGGTGTGACACTTCCCAGGGAGCTGGAAACTTCCTGGAAGGCTTCCCTCTTTCCAGTCTCCTTTCCAAGGGCTGCAGCTCTGTGCTATTAATTCATATCCAAATAGCCTTTTTCTTCACATGGGAGGGAGAAGGCAGGCAGAGTTTTATGCAAACCTCATCCAGTGGTGCCTCTCCCAGGCAACAAGCTGCAAGGATTTAGGACCGAGATCAACCTAGAGTAACTGTAGAGCTTTCCCAAGAAAGTAAATGCTCTTGCTTTTCTTAATTCCCTGACTTCAAAGCCTAAGTGTGAGGAGGCTCATGATCTCCCTGCTTTCTTCCTGCAGACTTTTGTCCCTGGTAGAGCTGTGCTGCTGGAACGTTCAGCCAAAGCTGTCAGTACAACACTCCCAGAGAAGGAGCACAATACTCTCCCATCACATAACCAACTCTTTCTTCACTAAAACTACAATCAGAACAACTAAGACGGGAAATACAGTATCTTTCATGCTTCTGATCTCTGAAAATGACATGAAGATCATGTAGCTCTTCTCTGTGTGTTTTACTTTACCAAATTGCCTGGTAATCTTCTCGTACAATTTAATTTGCCAGACACAATGAACATAAACTACCTAAGCTGTATCGATTCATTTGGCATCCATGGCTGCAGCAGCAACATAATGAGTTTGTGTAATATTAATATTCACTGCACCAAACAAGCATAAATCACAAACTATCCAAAGGAAACACAAAGACAGAATCAGACAACCACAGATAGAGAGCTCTGATGGCATTTCAATTCTGTGTGATTCTTGACATCCATCTGTACTGAACTATGCAAAGCAGATGCACTATTACCTTAAAGGAGCTACTGTGTATTTTGTTTTAAATCAACATGAATCTTCGCTGGAAGAATAGTTAATGTCCCAAAAACCTGAGCGCTTCAGAAAAACAACAGACAAGTATGTAGCTTTCTGCACAGAGAGGAAACAAATGTACCACATCCAGAGCCTCTCTGCAAAGGAAACCAGGAATGTTAAGATGCTATGGGCCCTTTAACTTGGCCCCAAGGCCCTGCAGCAACAAGGTGCTGTGGCCTTCCTGCAATCTAGATGTACTTGCCTTGTATGGCAGTACTAGCAGTATATTTAGGAGATGCAGAATTGTTAGCAAACAGCTGAGACTGAGGCTTATCTGAGACACTGGATAAGTGTCAAAATTCTACTGGTAATGCTGTTATGGGACAGGAGTCAGTCTCCAATGATACCAGCAAGTGCTGTTATAAATCAGCTGGTTGTTCAATGACAACTTCTTTGCCCATCTCTTCTTTTCGCTTTAAACATGACCCTTTCATAAAGAGGCTCCTATAATGAAGAAAAACACTATAAAGATGGAGGGGGTGCAAAAATACAGAGCTGGGTGCAAGCTTTCGGTCCCCCAGCTGCCTTCTCCAAGGTTATCTGGGCCAGAAAACTGCTCAGAATCTGAAAACTTTTGACAAAGGGTAATTCCAGATTTAAGTGTTAAGACTGTCATATGATGCCAGAGAAAAATTCCCAGCAGCAAGAGTTACTGAAAGAAGGATACAGTCTCACAAAGCAAGGCTTTTAGTGGTACTTTAGTGGTACAAGATCACAGTCTCAAACCAAGATGGGAAATTGTGAGCTGTGGAGAGGAGACATCACATCAAGAATGCAATGGAGCCACTGTGTGGCAAAAATAAAGGCACGGAGTCTCTTTCTGCAGCTCTGCTGACTTCAAGGGGATCATGTGTGTGCAAGCAGCTGCAACAGTGTGGTTTAAAGTTGGGCAAAGGCTGTGAGAAAGTTACTTGAATTGTTATATTATAATAATAACAACAATAATAAAATTCCTGTGTTTGCTTTCCATGAATATTCCATTGAGCATGCTGGCTGCCCAAACAGCACATTTTAAATAACTCTTTCAGAATATTTAGGATTTTCGTTGGAATTATTTCCCTCAGCTCTAGTAAGACTCCTCTGTTCAGCTGGCACTAAAGACAGAGGACAAAAGGAACTGTTGAAAAGGCAAGTACATTTTCCTACTAATCCCTTCTCCTTTAAATGGGCCCCAGTTTTCAACAAATATGGGAGTGAGATGAATATAGCAAACCGTACGGGTCTGACTCTACTCTCTCAAACCTATGTTGGTGTAAATTGTAGTACTCCACTGAGTAAAACTAAGCTACAGTGATTTACATCAGGGTGACAGTGAGCACCTTTCAAAGGTAACTGTTGTCATTTCCTTCTTTTCTCAGAAGTTGGCAGCAAAGGAAACAGAACCTCTCCAGAGACAGCTAGGAGTAAAACTGACTTATTTCAGATCAGCATCAACACTAAAAATTAACTCTTGTTGCCATAAAGAGGAAGTTTCTTGCTTATTGCTAAATCATGCATCATTCCCCCTTCACTGCCTTTCAGTGTTGCAGGAGAAATGCTATATGAATCCAGCTTAGCCAGTGGGACTAGAACCCATCCTCTTTTAAAGACTTCTCTAGTCTCCTTGTCTTTAAAAACAGTAGCAATTTCCTTATGCATTGACTGGATATTATTTAAGATCAGATTTTGTCCTCCCTATTCCAGAAAAGCACTGCTTTACTCAGGAGAGGCAAAAGAACTTCATGCAGTGTATGGTCAGAGCATGAATACTGACCTGATTTATATACTCTTAGCTCCTTTGCTTACCCCTTCCCTGCCTCACATGGTGTAATCAGTTCAGACCAGGGTATGAATTTGGAACTACCTTGGCTAAGGACAAATGTCCAAAAGGTTTCTAAAGCATGAGGAATAAACAGCAACATTTCAATGAGACTCCATTTAGTATTTAAAATGTGACTTTCTACTAAAAGGAGCATGGAGAGAAAACAAAAAAACCCCAACCAAACAAAAAAGTCCCTAATTACTAAATACATCTGATGCTCGTGTGAACGTCCTCACATTAAGTACTGTATTTCACCATCTCTTAGTTTTGTGAGAAGGAGTGGCACCTGAATTGTTAAAAGGATGGGGCCAAGAGCAGGAACAGGCAGAGGTCAGAGCTTTGGGCAGGGAGCTCAGGAGTGAAATGGAATTCCGGAAACCTGAACTCAGGTCCCCATCTGCAGCAGCGCTCCTGTGGTACTGAGGCTGAGGCATTTAGGACAGGATCCAATTCACCAGAGCTCACGCACCAGGTCTGAGACTGCTCTGGAGCTGTCAGTAGTCAGCAGATAGAGAAAGATGCCTCCAGAAAGTAACTTATTCCACTGCAAATGTCCAAGGCAGGCAGCAATAATCACCTATTGGATGCACCCAGTCTTCTCCAATGACACAAAATGGAGTCTAGATGAAGAGCTTAGATTATATCCCTATCCTTTTGACAGTTAAGAGTTAGTGAGCTGAATTCCACCTGAACACTCTGTGCCTCAGCTCCCTCTGTAAAATGAACAGCGTTTCCTCCCCTGACAGGGATGTTAGGAAGATCAACATGCTAAAATCTGTGATGTGCTCAGCAAAAACACATGCTTGTGAAGGAGGGCCATGAAAGCATCACATACAAACAGGAAAAGGGGCTGGGTCTGAAATCTGGCTCCAGACACAAAAGCAGCAT